GGATTCCCTGGAGGAGATGTGACACTGTCCCTCCTCCACCACTGCAGTTGGAGCAGAGACATGGGCTTTGCTGAGGCGGTTACTAATGGACAGGAGCTGGGCAATGAGATGATGAGGCTTCTACAGATGCTTTCACCTTTTCCTGATGGTAGCTGTGGTGAGAATATCCTTGCTGTGCTGTTTGAGGCGAAGCTGGAAGAAAAAGCTCAAAGAAATACTTATTTCGGAGCTCTGCAGTAAGAGCCCCTTCCCATAGCAGAAGTTTCAGTTCAGCTGGGTGTGAGGGGAACAAGGCTGAGGTGTTTGTATGAGTTGGACTTGCAGGAGGCCAACGTCTGGATTTGGAGCCCTGTTTCCCTAAAGCAGGCGATGCCTGCTGGCAGCTACCTACACCCCCTTTCTGCAATGGTGACTGGCTGCAGCCCTGTCCAGGACAGATAGACCATCTTCCCCCTTTCCACTGCAGCAGCATGGGAGAGGTTGCACTCAGCTTCAAGGAGACACAGCTGGCTGCCAGGAGACTTTGTGGGGATTTATGCCACTCAGTATGCAAGGTCACAGCAAGCAAGTCCCTCTCTCCAGCTTCTCCGGCACTTGCATCGGCCTGCCTCCCTCCAGAAGGGGATTTCAGTATGTCACAGCCGACTTGTGTTTCTTCAAAAAGTTTGGTGTCTGAATGGTTTTGAAGTGGGCTGGGCTGTTTGTGGCATGGCAAAGTGTGGACAGCTTGAGTGGGAGCTCCCACAGGGAGTAAAACTGGGGTGCTGCAGCAAGCTGCACAGCCTTCCCAAACTGCAGGGTAGAGGCTGCAGTATTTGTGGTCTATTACAAAGTAACTCAGGTGGCAGGATCTTCATGAAGTTTCCTTTCCAATCTCCAACCAAAGCAGGGTCGGCACTTAGGTCAGACCAGGCTGCTCAGGACTTTATCCAGTCAGGTCTTGAAAATAATCTCCAAGGATGGAGGCTGCATGGTCTCTCTGGGCAATGTGTGACTCCTCGTCACAGAAAAGTTTTCCTTTTATCAGTGTAATTAGCAGAAATGTGTAACCTCAGCAGCAGTTGCAGGCTACATTTTGCCTACATTCCTCCAGAAGCTCATGACACAGGAGTGTGTAGCCTCCTTGAAAGCCTGTGAGCTGTCCCCTGCCTGGGGCCAGCAGCAGAGCACCCACATTTGCTTTCCCTCTACTGAGCCTGGCAGGAAGGAGGCCCTGAGGCTTGGTGTGTGCTGAGCTTTTACTCTGCTAATCAACTTCCTACAGTATACAGTTGTGATTTTTTTTCTAGAGTTTACTCATTTCTGCACTAAGCATAGCCTGTTCATCCTTTAACCAAGGCCTCGATTGAGCCCCCTGGTTCCTCTTTACTCTGTGTTGCCTGTGAGGACATGTGCTGCCAGGCACAGCTGCTGGGCAGGCAATGCTCTCGGCAGCCAAAGGAAGCCTGTCAGCTTTTGGCACACAAAGTCAGAGATTGAAATTAGGATGTGTTCAAGGACTGGGAGTTGTTGTTTCCTAACCTCATGTTGTAATACTGGCAAATGCCACCGACTAGTAACTGAAAAGAAGTTTGACACTACGGGGCAAAAGAACAGGGACTTGTCCTGGTGCTGGTTCTAAACTTCATTCCTGTTCTTTCCTCCTGCTTCCTCCCACCTGCTCCTATGCTTCTCTTACAGCAGAGTTTGTTCGTTTTTGTCCGGTGGCTGGTGACTGCTGTTCTGCTGTCCCGATCTGGTGCAGCACGAGTGACTGCTGCATTGATCCTGGCAGCAAAGCTGTGACTGCCTGTAGCTGAGCTGAAAGGCGAGAGTGAGTCAAGCAACTGAAGCGCATCACTGAACAAA